TCTATCTATCTATCTATCTATCTATCTTTCTAGGTTCAATCTTGGGCCCAGTGCTCTTCAACATGACTTATACATGACTTAGATGAAGCTATTGAAGGTACACTCATCAAATTTGTGGGTGATATAAAACTGGGGGGTAAATGTTAACATTTTGGAAGATAGCCTCATGATACAGAAGGATCTTGACCATGGGTGTCAAACTCAAGGCCCACAGGCCGGATCCGGCCCGTGATGCGGATGGATATGGCCCCCGGGGCCATCCTGGAAAATGTAGGGGGCTGGCCCGCATCACTTCGGCCCAGTCTATCCAATGCAAAGAGGAAACATTGGGCCAGTGTGGCTTCGGCCTGGTCTACACAATGCAAAGAGGAAATATCAGGCCTGTGTGGCTTCGGCCTGGTTTACCCAATGCGAAGATGAAACATGCCATGTCCACCTAGTCATCCATGCCCATCCGGCCTCCCAAGGTTAACTTGATGCGGACCTCAATGAAATTGAGTTTGACACTCCTGATATCGACAGACTTCAGCATCGTGACCCATCTGACAAAATGAAAATTTCAGCGGTGAAAAATAAAATTACATACTTAGGCAAGAAAAGCCAAATGCACAGTTAGAGAATAGGTGGCGTCTGGCTCAATAGTAGTACCTGCGAGAGGGATCTAGGGGTTCTAGCGAACCACCATTTAAGTACGAGGCAGCAATGTGCCGCACCTGCCAAAAAAGCCAATGTAATCCTAGGCTGCATCAATAGAGGGATAACATCATGACAATGAGAAGTGATAATACCAGTCTACACTGCACAAGTAAGGCCATACTTGGGATACTGCATCCAGTTCTGGTCACCGTGATATAACAAAGATGCTGAGACTCTAGAAAGAGTGCAGAGAAGAGAAATAAAGATGATCGGGGGCATGGAGATTAAATTGTATGATGAATGGCTAAGGGATGTCACTGCATTTTTGTATTTACCAGATGAGCTATTATTTTTGGATTTTCAGACTTACCGTAGCTTGCCAAGTTTCTTATCAGTAAGCTAACTGCGCATGTCTACATTCCTTCACTTTCTTCTACTCTTTCTTTGTTCTCCTGCCAGGAGAGGTTCGGCCAAGAAGTGGTGGCCGGGATCTTTGCCAAAATGTAACTAATTTAGATAGTGAGATGTTTTACTTTCTTTACAATAAATATGAGTTTAATTAGAAAATGTATTTCTGTTTTCTTGCAAAAGTATACATAAGGAGAATGCCACGATTCACCTCTAACTCAGGCAATTACCCCAGGAAGGTAACGGGGCTGATTGCACTCTGACAAGGGAAGTACCATATTTTTTGGAATATAAGACGCACTTCCCCTCCCCTCCCATCCCTAAAAGTGGCTGAAAATTTTGGCGTGTATCTTAAAGACCGAATATGGGCCCATTTTTGGGCTCCTGAACCCCCTGCGCATTGCATTTTTGCCATCCCCAGCCCCCAGAAGCACTCTGCAATGCTCCGCACAGCCCATTTCCACCAAAAATGGGCCTGTTTGGGGCTCCTGAACACTCCATGCATCATGTTTTCACCCTCCTTGGCCCCCAGAAGCACTCTGCAGTGCTCTGCACAGCCCATTTTTGTTAAAAGACGGAATATGGGCCCGTTTTTGGGCTCCCAAACCCCCCACATGTTGCATTTTCACCCTCCCGAACCTCCAGAAGCTCTCTGCAGGACTGAAATCTACTGATTTCCCTACTGGTTCAGAAGTGCACGCACCATCGTCAAGTCCAATTTTTGAACCTCTGCGCATGCCCAAACCCATCTGCCCATGCGCAGAAGGTCAAAAATGGGTTACTTCCTGGTTAAAACCAGGAAGTAATGATGTCCAGGGAGGGTAGGCGGAGTCTTGTGCTGCCGCTGCTACCAGTTCGCGGAACCACATGCCGCCACCACTACCGGTTCACGCAAGCCGAACAGAACTGGCAGGATTTCACCACTGCTCCGCAGGCCAAAAACAGGTGCATTTTGGTGAAAACAGGCCCATTTTGGGGCTGTTTTTTTTTTCCTGGTTTTCATCCTGTAAGTCTAGGTGCGTCTTATAGTCTGGTGCATTTTACAATCCAAAAAATATGGTAGGTATGTTTAGCCTAACAAAAAGAAGGCTTCCCTTCCAATGCTTGAAGGACTGTCACAGGGAAGAAGGTGTTGGTTTATTCTTCGAAAATTAATATTTAAAATTGTAGCTGCTAAAATTAATCCATATGCTGATGTTCATATGGCTTTGATGTCAACCAGCATAAAACCCATATTTTATCTGTCACAGTCTGATAACCAAGAACACAGAGGGAGAGGGGAATTCTAACCTATTTCTTAAGGCCACAGCTGGGACTAGTCAAGAGTCTGAACAAGAAATAATATGATATCCAAATAAGCTTTTTGTTGACCTCTAAAGAAAGAAAGAAATATTCTACGCAGCTGTGCAGTTTTTGATTACCGAGGAAAAGACGCCCAGGTTATCATCACATCAGATAAATATTCTATTTTTAATCATTTCCTTCTTTTGGTCCTCAATCTGAACCAAAGCATGTTGAACAATCTAAAATATGCTCAATATATTTTGAGGAGAAACAATGGACGGAGGCTAACCAAGGAGAGAAGCAACCTAGAACTAAGGAGAAATTTCCTAGCGTTGAGAGCAATCAACCCATGGAACAGCTTGCCTCCAGAAGTTGTGGAAGTCCCATCACTGGAGGCTTTCAAAAAGAGAATGGACCACCATTGATCTGAAATGGTATACGGTCTCCTGCTTGAGCAGTGGGGTTGGACTAGAAGATTCCAATTCTATTATTCAATGTTCTAATATGCCCTCCGTGTCATGGGTATTTGAATGAAGTAGTTTAGGAAACAGATTACTGTGAGCTGGGATGCTTTTGATGTCTGGGGACCAGGTACTCCAGTCACAGTCACTTCAGGTAAGCATTGATATTCCAATTGTAATCTGACCTAATAGAAATGTAAATTAGATTATTATGGAGCCATGGAGATCTTTTGTGGAAAATGTAAGGAATTTTAGTTGATGAGATAGGCAGAATGGCTGTCTTGAAGGGCATGTCCATAGAAGTTGCTGATCGGAACTTCTGTGAAAATTAAGATCCATCTTAATTAAATTACATTAAGTTCCTTCCTGATCAATGCGAATGCTAGGTAGTTTTCATCACTAGTACTCTTAAAAACTACCTTAGAAGCAAGAAGTTTCATGTCAATTTTACGCCGGTATTCATGGAAAGTCTCCATAAAGTAATATTGCTTTGATCAAGAATAACAGAGTTGGAAGCAAATCTCTTTGAGTTTTTTTTTTCCCTTAACTGAACACAGATTTTAAATTTAAAGGAATTGTTTGCTTTTTGTTATCCATCATATAGGATGCAACTTTTCTATCTGGAGATCCCATTAACTTCATGAAGGGATGACACAAGTTAGTTGAGGATTTAAATTCATTGAAAGAGTTCCTGGTTGGCTAGAATAGCAAAAGAAAGAAAGAAAGAAAGAAAGAAAGAAAGAAAGAAAGAAAGAAAGAAAGAAAGAAAGAAAGAAAGAAAGAAAGAAAGAAAGAAAGATAGATCCTGTATTTAGGCATTTGCAAAAGTTTCCTTTAAAAGGATAAATTGGAGAATGTATTTAATTGGAGACTTTCTTTTTGTCCATCCTGTTGTGCAGATGTGAGTTTAAAATTACTCCTCAAAAAAAAGTGGTATTCTTATAAAGATAAAGCCCTTTAATTTAATTTTCTGCTTTAAAAAAATCCTCAAGAAATTTGCGCCGTGTGAGTGGCAACTTTGGGTTTGTTTGAGGGAAGATGACTTTCAAAAGATGCCACCAGTATCCTCCCCTATGGGACCCCAATTGCATTGGACAGTGGGTGGGAATCAATGTTCCCCACCACATTTCTTTCCAATTGTTTAATGAATCCGTGTTCAAAATTGGCTTGGAAGACACATGGAAAAAGACATCGAGTCTAGTTCTTTGACGAGACTCTCCCTTCTCTACGGAGAATTATGCCCCATGTTTCCGTTTGGAAATATTACCGTGCTACTGGTACTTTGACTACTGGGGAAAAGGAACAACGGGGATCGTTACAACAGGTATATTATATTTTATCGTTATATTTGTGTCACTCCTCAAAGTATTTAAATTCCAATGCCTACGAATTTTTCTTGAAGTACTACATTTGCTAAATTGGGAGCCGTTGAGCTTCTGTTTTACGACCTGAGGTATTTAGGAATTAGGAATTAAAGAATGTGTTTCATTCACACTGTTTAATTAAATAATAATAATAAGTTAAATCTTTAAGAAAAAGATCCAAACGGAGGTTTCCGTTCCGTGTTGATTCATGCCAATAGGGCTGTTTCGAAGTAATTGGGGTAAGGATTGTTGTCTAAGTTGAGCTGAATCTGGACATCTCCTCTTCGTTATTTGAGTGGGGTTGAATGAAATCAGTTAAATATATTTATATTTCACGGCTCTCTGAGAAAATAAAGGAGAAGAGTTCAATCAGCCTTCCCCTCAGTCTAAGCCATATTACTTTAGAAGAGGTCCTTCAAAAGCCATGAAGACTTCTTCCCAAGATGGGCCCTCATTTCCTCATTCACCTGCCCACCCCCATCCAAAACAAATCGATCAATGTACTTTTTGGGAAAGGAGACTTTAGTCCTGTCACTTCAAGTAAAATCTTGCTATCGATCCTTAATTTTATTCTTCTCTTCAGAACCCTTCTTAGACTTCGTAGCCTTGAAAATTTGGCATACCCATTGCTTAGTTGAGGTTTTCTAGGTGTATATTTTTATATACTCTGAAAACAATCTGCTATTTCTGTTTTTAAGCAAAAAACCCCAACACTTCCTGATGTTTGAGTAGACTTCTTGTTGGGCCGATGAGCAAGCATTTCAGTAAAATTCTCCTAAAACCAAAAGGTGATACATATGTCTAGGTGGTTTATGTAAAGGAACTAATTAAATGTTAAACAAGGTGTAGCTACGCATACTTTGATTATTGGGGCCAAGGAACCATGGTGACGGTCACTTCAGGTAAAAAAATAATAATCCTACTTTACTTATCTTTTCTGTAATGTTAAAAGGTGTACTTGATATTTTTTTTATTATTGTTTAAACGTTGGACTAGCTCCCGGTGTCATAGATATTAATTATTGGGGGCTAACTATACAGCAATAGTGGTTTAATTGCAAATTTCACTAAAATGAAGAAATAGAGGTAGGAGAAATGTAGGATGAGGTGAATTTTGTAGGAATTTTATGCTTATTTGGTGCAAAATTGCTGTCTGTTTCCAATTAGGTCTAAGTTTGAATCCATCTATCTATCTATCTATCTATCTATCTATCTATCTATCTATCTATCTTCTCTGTCTGGTTTGTCTGTCTGTCTATCTATTCACTCCAATTGAAGAAACAAGCCATTCTCTATGTCTACTAATTTTCTCAACTCATATGCAGTAGACAGATTAATTTACTGAGGCTAAAGCATTCCAGTAGTTGCAACTTCAGGTGAAGGTTTTCTATTTTTCACATGGATGTTATGATTTAAAGTGAGGTTTGCCACCATGGCCAGATCAGAGGCCCAGAGAGTTGGGACCGAGATATTTTTTTGTCAAACTGTCATGGAATTAAAATCACTGTGACTACGCTTTTCATACCTTTGGAGGAGGTACTCAGATCACCATCACTTCAGGTAAACATTGATATTCCAACTGTAATTGGACTTCACAGAAATATAAATTAGATTGTTGTGAAACCGTGGAGATCTTTTACGGAAAATGTATGGAGTTTTAGCGATGAGATAGGATTTCTGGAAGGGTATGCGCATCCAAGTTGCTGATCGGAACTTCTGTGAAAATTAAGATCCATCTTAAATTAAATTAAATTAAGTTCCTTCCTGATAAATGCGACTGCTGGGTAGTTTTCATCACTAGCACTCTTAAAAATTAGCCCAAAGAGTTGGGACCAAGATATTTTTTGTCAAGCTGTCATGGAAATAAAATCACTGTGACTATGCTTTTGATGTATGGGGACAAGGAACTGCCGTGACAGTAACTACTGGTAAGTTAAACTAGATTTCTTTTGTTGTTGTTCTTTATACCAATTTTCTTTCACGATTTTGTGGGATTTTTCTCTCTTTTCTGTTGTTTTTTTAAATGATAAGTGCCGTAAACCTGCTATCTATGTCAAAATTGTCTTTGATGGACCATTCGCATGGGTGCTGTTGGAAAAATCATCCATTCTCTATGCTAAATTAAATGTGTTAGTTACAAATCCATCCAGAACATGCTTCTAAGGGGTTCAGATTATTTATTTATTTTTTTAAAAAATTGTACTTCTAAATCCAGACTTTAAGGCATCAAATGTTTGGGCTTGTTCGTTGCAAGTAGAAGTATAATAAGCAATACAGCAGAGTCATTGAAAATCCAGAAATTTTATACATCTCCAAATCTAAATAACAAAATCTGAAATCGTTTTGCCCTGACATATATATAAATATATTGTCTTAAAGCTAGGAACTCAGGAATTTTTTTCCCTTTAGTAATTTGATTTGTCCTGAGGAATTTTCTGCCTTCTTAAGATATTCAAAGTGTATTTTTGTTTGGAGCTACTGTAAATTTGATCTACGCCGCTTTTCGTGGTCTGGAATGGGCAAAATAATTCTTCGTTAGGTTTTTGTACATGGTTTGTATTTAATTGCCTCAGTGTGACTTTTACTACTGGGGCAAAGGAACGATGGTCACCGTCAGCTCAGGTATGATTTTTTTTTTTCATTCTTTCTACCTCTTCCATCTGCTATTAATCTGGATTTTTTTTCCCTTTTTGGGCTTTAATTCTCTAGATGATATTAAAATGTTATGTGTCTTGAACATAAATAATCTTATTGGGGAACCCATTCTGGGAGCAGAGAGGGTGAACTCCCAATTATTGACTTTGCGTGACCATTCGCATTTTTGCTATTCCTAAAGAAAAAAGGTAATCGACTCTCTAGACTGGGTTAAATATCTTATTTATAAATCCATGCCCAACATGACCTTTTTCTTTGGAGGTTTATACATTGAGTCCAATTCTTTTCACGGTTTGCAAAGAATAATGTGATTCCTTATTAAGTTTTTGTACATGGCTTGTGTTTGGTTGACTTGATGTGATGACTTGGATTACTGGGGCAAAGGAACAATGGTTACCGTCAGCTCAGGTATGATTTTTTTCATTCTTTTTACCTCTTTCATCTGTTATTAATTTGGATTTTTTTCCCCCCTTTTGGCTTTAAATTCTCCAAATGGCATTCCAAATTTGGTCCGTGGCACTGTTAGAATTCTGACATACGAGCTTTCTTATTGGAAAGAAAGTTTTGAAAATGGAGAAGGTGACCTCTTAATGAATGTCTTTGCCTTACTTTTTTTTTTTTGCCATTCCTGAAAAAAAATCAATTCTCTAGCCTAAATTACATTTCTGATTTATAAATCCATCCAGAAATAAGTTCAAATAGGATTTCAGACTATGAAGATGATTTTTTTAAAAAATGTTCTTCTAAATTTAAACAATGGCATCAAGCCATTAAGTCTTCTTATTGGAACCAAAATTATAATAAGCAACAATAACACCAAAAATCCAAAGATTTTATCCATTTCCAGTTCTAAGTAACGAAGCCCAGAATTGTTTTTGCCATAATATATATTTTTGTCTTAAGGTACTAAGAACCTCAGGGATTTTTTTTCTCCCTTTAATAATTTGATTAGCCCTGAATAATTTATATATCATGTCTATCTTTTTAAAAACCCTTTAAGAAGGGTTTTAAATACCCTGTAAGAAGGGTATTTTGTGTGGCGCGTCTATAAAATAGACTTTTTTCACAGTCTGTAAAGGACAGAATAATTCCTCATTAAGTTTTTGTATGTGGCTTGAACTTGGTTGACTTGATGTGACTACTTCGAGTACTGGGGTAAAGGAACACCGGTTGTAGTCACCTCAGGTATGTTTTTATTATTCTTTCTACTTCTTGTGTTACTAATTTGGAGTTTTTTTCCCCTTTTTACTTCAATTTTCAAAATGCCAGTTTGTCCATGGCACTGTCGATGTTCTTAGACATAAGCAATTCTATTGGAAAGTGCATTCTGGAAACAGACAGGGTTTTAATTAATATCTTTCTGTGACTATTCATATGTTTGTTATTCCTTTAAATATATATATATAAATATATATCATTGTTTCTTTAGGCTCAGTTAAATTTCTTGTTTGTAAATCCGTTCAGAACATGCTATTAGTAGGACTTTAAGAGCACATTGTTCTTCTGAATTTAGACATTAAGGGATCAAAAAATTGATCAAAAAAAAAATCAAAAGTATAATAAGCAACAGTGTCACCTAATAGCCAAAGATTTTATGCACCTCCAGATCTAACAAAGTCTAAATTTTTGTCTTCAGGGATTTTTTCCTTCAGTAATCTAATTAATCCCGAACAATTTATATGTAGTTTCTATCATTTTAAACCATTCAAACAATAATTTTGTTTGGGACTTCTACAAATTAAGGTTAAGTCACTTTTTCATTGTCTGGAAAAGACAAAATAATTCCTCATAAGGTTTTTGTACATGGATTGCATTTGGTTGACCTGATGTGACTACTTTGACATCTGGGGTAAAGGAACAAATGTCGTAGTCACCTCAGGTATGTTTTTATAATACTTTCTATATATTTGTTATTCATTTGGATTATTTTCTCCCCCCTTTTTGTGCTTTAATTTTCTAAGTGATGTTAAAATTTTGTCTGTGGCACTGGGACATAAGTAATCCCAGAATCTCACTCCGAAGACAGCGTGATCTCTTAATTTCAGGAAAATCAAGCGTAAATTAAAATAACCCAACTGCTCACTTGACAGAAATCTGTATTTCAGCCAAATGGACAGAAAATTGGGTTATGAAATTGCAAACGTGCGATATGAATCTTTCGCTAGGAAAAAAAAAATCAGTATTTTTATATTTCTCCATCACTTTTAGGCTGATTTTTAAACAGGTTCGAAAAGAAACTGCAGAATAAATGTTTCTAGAAAATTGTTTGACACTTGATGACTTCAAAGTAATTGCCATCAGAGTCCATTTACTGCCGAGTAAATATGCACAAAATTATATATATATATATATATATATATATATATATATATATATATATATATGAATTATCCTGACAGAATGTTAATATATTTATATTGTGTTTATATTTTTAATATATTTCATATATATATATCTCAATATATATGTGAAGTCCTTAAAATATGGTCAGTATAATTCACAAGTTAAGGTTAAGGTTTGCCTCCTCAATAGTCAAACTTCTTGTATGATTACCCCATAACTATTATTCATTGTGACAACTGGTTTGATTATTGGGGAAAAGGCACCCCGGTCACCGTCTCCTCAGGTAAAAATGATTCTTCTTTTCTAAGACATTCTTTTCGTGAGTTTTTTCTTTGTGATTTTAATGCCGTTTTCATGAATTCGCTAGAATCCATTCCAGAACGAACTTAATCTGTATAGCAAAAATTGAATGCTGACAATGACCCTGTTTTTCTTTTTGTTTGTCTGCTCTGTTCTCTCTCTCTCTTTCTCCCTTTTCTTCTAAAATGCCATTTTATCGTTTCTATTTTATTTTGTTTATTTGGAAGAATTTAGGGGGATTAGGGCAAACAAAATTGGGTTCTTAGTATTCTTTACCCCCCCAAAAAAATAAAAATAAAAATTAGTTTGCATGATCTGGAAATAGAGAAGGATGCTATCCTATTCAAATGTTATTAGGTTTGTTCTAAAGGATGAGAGGAAAAGTGCACAATTTTATTTGACAGGAAAATTGGATTTATTTAATATTATTCCTAAAGTGACTGTGAAGAGTTAAGTATATATTTCACAGGGTTATGTTAATGGGCAAGTCAATACTAAGGACATGGATCCTTAGTCACCGTTACCGCAGGTAAATCTAATTTTTTTTCTGAATCACATATGTGTCGTATATGTAAGAGGACTTTTATTAATTTGGAAGGAAGAAACACACTCTTCCATTCTCTCAATGTTTTTAATTTCTGAGATATTTTAACCAAAGGATTAAAAAATGTCACATATCCAGTGCTAGAACTGAAATTGTTTGTGCCTTCCTCTTTTCTTTTACTCTTTGCCTCAATTATTTCAATTTAGAAATAAAATCGCACTTTAGATATATTATTTACAAAACGTAAATCTGTCTCTCTGTTGAATTGTTGCCTGTTTTTCTATTGACACCCATTTCTTTTCCTCTTGGCCTCCATTCTTTAAATTCTTCAATTCTTTAATTTTATTATTATTATTAGTTTGCTGGGGAAAAGGCAAAAAGAGTGTTTAAAGACTGAAAGAAATGGCCTTTGTTACAACCTGTTTCATGTAATATATCCGTTGGTAAAGTTTTTTGCTGTAAATTGGATAGTTTTTAATGTATTGATGAATTCTCTCTCTCTCCCTTCAGTTATTTATTTATTTATTTTTGTTATACACTTCTATTATTTTATTTCTTGATCTTTATGGGATTTTTTGAGTGCCTTGTTCATGATGAAATTGATTTCTGGCTCTGAATTAAGTTAAGGGGGAATCCAGCACAGATTCCCATTCGAATTAAGTAGAAGTAAAAATTGTGAATTAATTGCCTTGAAACAGACCGAAGTTAGAAAGACGGAATAAAATGCGGGTTAGATCAAATAAAAAAATAGAAAATCTGTATGATTTTTTATTTTTTAAAAAATAGAATTAAAGTGTTTATTTGCAGTTGGGAGATTGGGGTGGGGGAGGAGGGTTGAAACTAAAATAGCCGGACAGAAAACAGAATATTCTGGGATGTTTAAAATACAGGTGGTGATAGATTCGTTTCTCGGTTTTAGTATATTTTAAGACACAAGTTTCATCTGAAAGGGTTTGGGGGCTTCTAAAACAATTCTGGAAATAGCCCAAAAGTGTTTCGAAAACAACATCTGGTTTTTTCGAGTCCTCTCTATCGTCCCTTTTCCAAAAATAAATGTGATTTATCATGCTTTAATTTTATCAAGGAAAAAAAAAGTTAAGGTCTTTCCTTAGGCATTTGTTTTTTGCTGGCACTCTACAGTTTCTTCTAGAAACCACCCAGTAAAAGGGTAAGGAAAAGCAAAATTATTTATATTGATTTAGCTTTAATAATCACACATTTTCTACTTGTTTACTATGATAACCTCTTTTACTTCATTAATATGCCTTAATGTTATTTGATTACTTGATTACTATCACAATATATTTTAATTATGTTTCTGTTTTGTACCAGTGGTCTATTATTTCTTAATAATTTTGCACTAAGCTTGTGATTGAATGGTAGATTGTTTTATTATTTTTTTAAAAATGAATTACTCATGAGGGAAATGACTGGTTTTATTGGGGTGATTTTATTTTTTAGAACAGAATGACTTTATGGCATGAATCAGGTTTGTTCTATTTATTTATTTTTTTAGTGTTTCTCCCAAAGTAACTAGGAAATTTTGAATTTTCTTAATTGGGAAAAAAAACCATTTTATTTTATTTTATTTTATTTTTAAATTGGGATTGTTCTTTTTCTTATCCTCTATGGCAGAGTTTCAATTTTATTTTATTTATTTGGTAGAATAGAATCATTCCTGTTATTTGAAATTTCCATCTTTCTTGTTCTGAGTGATTGATTTTTAAGAAAGGACTTGGAATTTGTTATTTGAAATTTCCATCTTTCTTGTTCTGAGTGATTGATTTTTAAGAAAGGACTTTGGAATTTTGTTGGAGAAAAGGTATTATTTTATTCATCTTAGTTCATATGACATAGACGGCGGGGAGCTTAGTACATGGCAAATTAATATTCCTATTTAGTTGACATTTATTGTTTATGAAGCAGAAATGATGGTTTATTAAAAGGTTTCTTAGAGTGATATTTATTTAGAAGAGTGGTTGATTGATAGTTGAATTGATTGATAGCCAGAGATTCTTTTCACTGCACAATTAGTAGCCCTGTTCAGCATCTTAACTCTCAAACATCTGGGATACTGTGAGTATCCCAGGATTTTCCCATCCAGTGTCTTTCCTCTTTGAATTAAATTTTTGGAGTTTTAGGATAGCAAGCTGGACCCTTCTAGTACCTCTAAAGCTTAGCCAGAAAGAACTTTTACAGATGCTCTGCTCCATATCTTAGT